TCTTTCACTAAAGGTGATGCCTTGAACTGAACCTCCAGTTCCATTATTTGCTATTGTTCAGGCAACATATTTAAAACTTCCAAGTTCTCCTACAGAACTGATGATTCTGCTTTGAGAATTAAGAATCCATTTTCTCGCAACTAAGTTCTCAACTAGTGTAAATGATTTTTCATAATGATGTTTATATTCATTGATTCTTACTGATTTTCAGGATGGATTTAGATTAAAACAAATAAAATTATGAGGGAGTATATTTTATTATGAAAATTATCTACTTTTAATTAGGTTATGGGATTGTTTTTCTTCAGTTCTTCAATAGTGGTACTGTCTTATGGTTTTGTGAAGCTCATTGTGGAAAATTCATATTTTACTTTAGTATTTTGAACTGCAAGATAGTAATACGTTATATTTATATTTTTCCACCCCCGCACTCTTTTCAATTTGCTGTTTTTAATAATAGCAACAACAACAACAACAACAACAACAATAATAATAATGCAGCTCAGTTCTTCAGATCTTTCAGTTTCTTCAATTCTTCAATTCTTTCAGATCTTCAGTGCTAGCTGAAAGGCACTGTCTGTTCATAATGGAGTACTTTACTGATGATGGTGAAACTTATTATTTTAGAATGAGTATCCTTTTTTTTGCGTTCGTCCTAGTTAATCTAGGCTACACCAATAAATTTACCAAAACCCCAATAATTCCACTATGCCTGGAGGATCATCATGTGTCTGAATCTGAGACAACACCACAGACTTTGCAGAAGTTCCACCATTTGCATCATCTTTCTGATGTAAAAGTATTCCCATTATTTGCATTTACTGTTTCAGGCTGAAGTGTTGATTTCAACATAAGTTATCACATTCCAAAAATGCAAATAATGTACCAAGACAGAAAGATGTAAGTCATGAAGAAGTCATCCTGTCCTATTTAGACCTTGTAAGACCTCAGCTGAAATACTTAGTCCAGTTTTTATTACAATTTCAAGAGATGAACTAGTACAAGAGACCTCAGAGGAGTATAATGAGAATGATCAGAGTCCTGGAAAACAAGATCTGGATGGAAAGATTGAAGGAGCAGTGATCACAGCCTAAAGAAGAAGGGCAGCAACCATCAGTTTGCAAATAAATAAGAGGTGCTTACTTATCATCAAAGAATGATTAGCACTGTTCTCCAGGTATGTAATGATTATGAAAAGTGACAGTCTTAAATGGCAACAGAAGGATTTAGATATTAGAAACAATAAAGACAAATGCCAGAATAAATACTTTTTATGAGATTGTGGAGTGTCCATCATTAAAAGTCTTTGAGAACAGGTTAAACATATATTAGGAGTTATGTAAATAAAGGTGATCCTACCTCTCCTAATCCCTTGCAGTCCAAATATTCCAAAAGGACTTAAAATTCTTCAGCTGAGACTTCTACTTGTTTCAGATTTATTGTTGATTTTTCGATCCTCTGATAATTCATTCTGATTTCACCATCATAATGTAAGGCTGCCTGAACTTCATGTTTTCTGTGTTGGCCCCAAGATGTGAAAGTTGTTGCATACTGGATTTGCATCTCAGGATAATCATGCTCTTTTAAGTATTCCACTATTTCTAAAGTGTAAGGGACCTCTTTTTCTTTAAGAAAATAATTCCTTCTCATTTTAAGTTCACTGCAGGATGATGCCAGCTGCTTTGTATGCTCCATAAGCAAAGCCTTTTTGAAATCTCCACCAAAAATGAAACCTCAAGATGATGGAGAAACAGCAATATATATGGATGAAGAGTGCTCCATTCCCAAATTGTTTATGCAATTGAACTCTATGGCGAGGAATATGAAGGAACCAATGACCTGCAGCCTTGCCTAGCAAAATTATAATAAGGATTAAATGACAGACAACTTTCTCACATCTTTGTTTTATTCTGGGCACAGCTGCATTAAAAACTGAGTAATTTCTACTTGGACGTGTTGCCTAGTCAAAAAAGAACTAATTGCTACAATGGAGAAAATTACTTTATTTTGAAAGCTCAGATGAAGCAATTTACAACTCCCTGTCAAATATAAAACTGTATAGATTTTGGGCAGAGGAAATAGCTATAAAAGTTCTCTAACTGCTACCAACTATGAGGCATGTTAAATCTTTGATGCACATAAAACACATCCTCTTCTTACCAGTTTATCTCTGAACATGCCTGAGGAAACTACCCTCTGTAAAACACAATGCAATATATTTAAAGTTAAAATAGAATTACTAAATCAAGTAAAGTCTTTCAAAGTAGAGAAAAATAAAAATTCTTATTGATAGGAAAATACCTTTTCTGAGCTGATCAAATCTTTGGTCCCCTTTGGTTGCTACCCTTCTAACCGATTTGAGAGGGAGGGACTACACATCAGTCTCCATTGGTGGCAACTCAGTTACACAACGCTATTTCTCAGCTGTACGTAGCCTTTGCAGTTGACATGATCTGATGAACATTTCACCCACTAAAATGAGACTGCACTCTATTATTTGTGATAATTAATTAGAAATACGTTAATTATGCTTACTGCTTAAAATGCTCATACAGCTACAAACTAGAGGGACACACAGCAGTGTATCTGATGAGCAGCTGTGAAGAAAACCAAAAAATCACCTAGAAATCTCATGTTATGCTAATTATTCCTAGTGCTGTACTCAGTTGATGTAAATAATTTTATGAACTATCTTCAAGCTCTATGCTTAAAAAAGTGTGTACTGTTTACAGGCTACATTTAAAGGCTGGATGGATATTATGTACGCAGCTATTGACTCGAGAGATGTAAGTAGTGCAATTATGTAAAATTATCTTTTTTTCTTGAAGTCTGTCAACAAGTGTGTATTTATAGAACTTCCAAAAGCAATTAATATCCATAAAACAGAATAAAACCCATCCATGCAATAGAATGAAACAAAATTAAATTAACTGACATTCTGCTGTAATTGTGGAAAACTGAATGTAAACTGCCAAATGCTGTAAGTAATGGACAAAAAGCATTGATATATGACAGGAGTATTGTCCAAACACAAAATATTAAAAACATTTTGCCCAAGGTTGCTGCTTGTTCAGTTGAAATTTTCACATGAAATCTTAGGAATCATATTTCACTTTTTTTTTTTAATTAGGTATTACAGCAACCCAAGTATGAAGACAACCTGTACATGTATTTGTATTTTGTCATCTTTATAATTTTTGGGTCTTTCTTCACCCTGAACCTATTCATTGGTGTCATTATTGATAACTTCAATCAGCAAAAAAAGAAGATAAGTATTGTTTCATTACTCTTCTAAATATATTCTAAAATATTACATTTTTGCAGGTACATGAGATATGGAATGTACACCTGAGGTTTGTTCAAAATTGGAAAAGCTGAAGTATATTAGGATACAAAATCTTGCCAAGATGTAGTATGCATTAAAGTAATGAGGTTTTACTTAAAAATAAATGGGGTCGACCCTTCTGTTTTCAATGTCTAGTTTAGTCTTCTTCAAGTTGGAAGTGTCAATGGACACAAGTTGCTTATGGGGAGATTCCGACTGAACTCCAGAATACTTTTTTTTTACCATGACATCAATTAGATATTGGAATAACATCCCAGGGGAAGTGATAAATTCCCCTACATTGGTCAGTTTTAAAGGTCAGCTTGACAGGGTGCTGTCAAGGGTGCTGTCAGGGTGCTGCTTGACAGGGTGTGCAACTGATGTAATTTAACCCATCCTTTTACCTTGAAAGGTTGGTCCCTTCCAACCTGGTGTTCTATTCTATGATTCTATGAAGTTGTCTGCTTTTCCATGTCTAAACTTCATGAAGTCTCCTCACGTGATCAAATCTCTGCTTTAGGTATCTCCATTAAAGCACTCATAATTTCTTGATTATTTTTTTCTTCTTGATTTGTTGTGATTCTATCAGCACACACACACAAAAAAAGTTTTCTGGTTTAAAAAAAAAGAAAAAAAAGCACCATTTCATCACACTGCTACAGATGCTGTCTTAATGATCCCAAGTATTTGTGGGTTTTTTTGTGGCACTGAATGATCTGAAACTATAAAGAACAGGAGTGGTTGGTAACTACCTCAGGGCCTACTGTTATTGTTTCATAGTGCAGATGATCTCACTGGTATAGATGGTCTGAGTATCACATGTTCCTCTTTAAAACTATTTTCTGTAAATAGATAAGGTACTGAAAGGTAAAGGACAAAGGAAGCTATGAATTACTAGTTTAATTTTACCTCACTGGACTTCATAATTTTATTTGGTTTTTTGTTACAAAAGAGAGATGGTAAGTAAGATTTTTGGAAACCAGAGATGCTAGAGGCCTAGATGTATATGGCTTGGGAGCCTGTCCAGTGCATGCATTGTCATGTCTTCAAGCTTCCTAAACACTCATCCACAAAAGGGCTGCTTCCACTCCTATGTGTTCATAGACATTCCTGGAATTAGATATCTGCAAATATCTTTTATCCAAGAAAAGTTTACTTCAAGAGGTATGTGGAGTCTGATGGGTTTTCATTCAAGCTGCCTGTGCAAGAAAGTTACTATGAGCAGTGAATCTTGGTTGAAAGACCCATAATTCTCTCTGTATCTTCACTGACAGACTCCAAAGGCCAGTTCTCACTTTTGGTAATCAGAACTTCTTTGAACATGGAAGATAATCAAAATAAAAGACTTAGAGAGCATTTTGCTGTTAACAGTATCAAGAGTGGTTCAACCTTCATCTCAGTTTCTCCAAAGTCACAAAATCTACCTTCTCAAAAATCTTGAGGACTTTGAGTCCCACTGCTAATGCTGTGATTGATAAACTAGAGACACCTTAGGTCTTATTAATTAATTATTAAGTAATGATTAATGCAGCACTAATGCATTCATGTGCTGAAAATCTGACTTTGCTTCCTTTGCTTCACTAAAATCGCAGTTCAAAAGTGACAGTATTGAGCAGCCCGGACTATTTGAACTTATCTCAGATGCTGTGTACTGTATCCATTCCTATAAAAGAAGAGAGGTACTGAAAAGGATTTCTTGAAGTTCAAGGAAAATAACTGTAGAAAAATGCTGCATTACTGGGGTTTTTTGTGAGATGCAGTACTGTATGTTCAACTTCTAGACTAATTGCTTAGATTGCAGACAGCTGCATATAACATTTTTCCCAATTCAGTCTTCTTGATTTTCAAGAAATAAATGGATGAATCACATTTCCCTTTGTTTTTTTCAACACTGCATATAAATGTGATTATAACCAGTTTTGATCTTATGTCTTTACTTTGGAGGTCAAGACATATTTATGACAGAGGAGCAGAAGAAATACTACAATGCAATGAAAAAGCTGGGATCCAAGAAACCACAAAAACCTATACCAAGACCAGGGGTAAAATTATTTATATACATCAGACCAATAGCTATTTACAAACAGCTCAGTTTTTATTGACATACGGAGAGCAGAAATATGCCATGTGAAAATTATCATGAATTATAGTATCAGTCAGCAAAATGTATGTTTTACGTATGAATATACAAACAAAGGAGGCTGGACTAAACTGTTTTATTCACTTTAATTTGACTACCTAAGATCCTTAGTTACATTTTTATTGAAGCCTCATAGTCCTTATTACATGTATTTTTCCTACTTTCTTCTAACAGGAAAACAAAACCAATTACAATTTGTGTTGGATGTATCTTTTTTTCTTTTCTCCTCAGAACAAATTCCAAGGCATGGTGTTTGATTTTGTGACACAGCAAGTATTTGACATCAGCATCATGATTCTTATTTGTCTTAACATGGTTACCATGATGGTAGAAACTGATGACCAAAGTAAAGAAATGGAAAATATTTTATACTGGATAAACCTGGTGTTCATTGTCCTTTTCACCGGAGAATGTGTCTTGAAATTAATTTCACTTCGCCATTACTATTTCACTATAGGCTGGAACATATTTGATTTTGTAGTTGTCATTCTCTCAATAGTAGGTAAGTCTTGTTTATTAAACTAAAAAGAGGGTAAAATGAATATAAGGTGAAGTTTTACTTGAATAGAGCTATATGATTGACTTTTGCCATTGCAAAGTTTACAGCTAAGTCATGTATCTTTTCATTTTTATCTAATAATTTACTTAATCCAATCATCAAAACTGTTAAAATCTTTCCACATATATTGCAACTGCAAATATTAATTATAACTGGTACTTTTTAAAACTGTTTTTCTGAATTTCTACTATGATATGGAGATTAAGTGGTAACATATCTTGGTTTTATTTTTTTCACTTTTAGGTATGTTTTTAGCTGAGATGATTGAGAAATATTTTGTGTCCCCGACACTATTCAGAGTCATCCGACTTGCCAGAATCGGTCGAATCCTGCGTCTCATTAAGGGCGCTAAGGGAATCCGCACTCTGCTCTTTGCTTTGATGATGTCTCTACCTGCTTTGTTCAACATTGGTCTGCTGCTGTTCCTGGTCATGTTTATCTATGCCATATTTGGCATGTCCAACTTTGCCTATGTTAAGAGGGAAGCTGGTATAGATGACATGTTCAACTTTGAGACGTTTGGCAACAGCATGATCTGCCTGTTTCAAATTACCACATCTGCTGGCTGGGATGGTTTGCTAGCCCCAATTCTTAACAGTGGGGAGCCAGACTGTGACCCTAACAAAGCTCATCCAGGGAGCTCTGTGAAAGGCGACTGTGGCAACCCTTCCGTTGGGATTTTCTTCTTTGTCAGCTACATTATCATATCATTCCTGGTAGTGGTGAACATGTACATTGCTGTGATTCTGGAGAACTTCGGTGTTGCTACTGAAGAAAGCGCTGAACCCTTGAGCGAGGATGACTTTGAGATGTTCTATGAAGTTTGGGAGAAGTTTGATCCCGATGCCACACAATTCATGGAATTTGAGAAATTATCTGATTTTGCAGCAGCACTTGAGCCTCCTCTTCATCTACCCAAACCAAACAAAGTCCAGCTTATTGCAATGGATCTGCCCATGGTAAGTGGTGACAGAATTCACTGCCTTGACATCTTGTTTGCTTTCACAAAGCGTGTTCTGGGCGAAAGTGGGGAGATGGATGCCCTCAGAATACAGATGGAAGATCGGTTTATGGCATCCAATCCTTCAAAAGCTTCCTATGAACCAATTACAACCACATTAAAAAGAAAACAGGAGGAGGTATCTGCTGTCATTATTCAACGGGCTTACAGACGTCACCTTTTAAAACGAACAGTAAAACAAGCTTCCTTCATCTATAACAAAAACAAAACTGAAGGAGGGGCTGGTCTAGGTATAAAAGATGAAATCCTTATTGACAAGTTAAATGAAAACTCATTTACAGAGAAAACAGATATAACTGCATCAACAGCAGTTTGTCCACCTTCTTATGATCGTGTAACAAGGGCAGTCAAAGAAAAGCATGAGAAGGAAGATAAAGATGTTCAGAAATAAAAGCAAATAGCAAGCAAATTCATCTATGTGCAAAATAGTTCATAGCCTATAAGGATCATGTATTTGTGTCAACAGGACTCCTGCTGGAGATCTATGCCAAACTGACAATTTTTACAAATATACTGTACATTAAAGGTCAGTGCCTACTAAAAGACAGTGACCCCTTGTCAGTGACTGTGACTGTGATACAGGGAAACAACCTTGACAGGAGGTTACTGTTCTCACTACCAGCTGACACTGCTGAAGAGGAGAGAAAAAATGGCTACTCAGACTGTAGGGACCAGTTCAAGGGGTGCAAACCAAGTATTTGTGTGTTTAGCATAACACAATATGGTAACAGTATTCACTGTTTGCATTTCAACTGCCACATATGTCATATTTTTACAAAATCTGTGTTGGTGGATTCATCTTATTTTTATTCATATCTTGTTTATTATATGTGACTATTTTTGTAAATGGGGCTTCTGTTGGGGAAGGGGATGAAGTACACCTTTACAGGTTCAAGGGCCAGGTCTTCTATTATATGACTAATATACACACAGAAATGATTTGCATGAAGGCATGCTGCACTTATAGATCATGCATGAAAATAACATTAAGTCACAAAGAACAACAGATTTTTTTAGCGCAGTGTTTCTGGAAAGGAATAACAGATTTTGAGGTGCTTAATTAATGTATTCATGTTGCATCATGTCCAAATAAGTCTTGGTGTGCCTGTAAAGTCCCCTGTAACTCACAGGAACAGTAGAGATGAATTTTTTTTGCACAGACCATTATGTTTCAGAAAATGCAAACTACTGTCTAGGTCTGGAGTCACAGATTTTGTCTTCGTCAAATGTCTTTCTGCATACAAATACTAAATGAATCTGCCTCAACCCTCCAAATTGATCAAAAAGAGCCCTTATCAAGTTGTTCTGCTTTATCCTGCAGTATTGTTTAGCCATCTTCAGCTCTCAGTAAGGTTGATGTTGTTGTACACGTTAATGAAAAGCCCTCTGCTATGTAAATAGTAATTTTTAACATGTGGTGCATGTTTGAGCAAACAGATCATGACCTAAGCACATTTATTGCATCAAATATGTACCACAATAAGTGTAGTGTGCAAGCGTTCAACAGGTACAGTTACCAATTATCTACCATTATAGATAGTTCGGATGCTATCAGTGCATGTTTATATTGCCTATGCTGCTGTTCCTTTGACTGTCCAGGATTCTTAAATATGGGAAGCCATACATCAGAGCTAAATGAAATAAAATACTCAACAAGACCTCATTCCTCCATACCATTAAGCAATATTTTGTAGCTGTTTAGGAGCTTATTTGTTTTATGTTTTTGAATTTTCAGTGAAAAGCATACAGTGTATATTCAACCTGTACAGACGTTGAAAACTACTAAACCTGTTGAAAATAATGTTAGAATTTTATAAGCAAATATAAATACTGTAAAAATCATTTTATTTTCTTTTTCACCATTATGTACATAAAACAAGAACTGAATTTTATCTTCAGGTTGATGTCATACCATTTTTGTTACTTTCTGTCCATAGCACTTTTTCACAGAAGAACTCCAGAGAACAAGATACAACTAAGAGAATGGATAGCTGTAGGTTCTTATTTTTTACAAGATTTGCAAACATGTCAATACTTTCTGTGAAATGAGTTCATAATTTGCTTCAAAAAATTTAATTATTTTTGCAGTTGGGAAATGGTGTAAAGTTCAAATTGAATGTCTAAGCAGTGCCTGCATCATAAGTTTTCAGATACAACCTTTCTTTCACAGAATCCTTAATCTTCTCTCATAGATTTTTTTTTTGTTAATTTTATTCATGCTGCACTAGAACAGTTCTAAATGTTATCTTCGGTCCACAATATTTTTTCACAAAGAGAAAGTAGCAAAGTTGTATAATCCAACACATCAGGACATTTTATGTTTCTTACACAGGAAAACGAAATATAGATTACTTTTATTAAAATTATTGACTAATACTGTATTAGTGAACTGCATGCAGGAAAATGCTACTATTACCCTAACGGATGCTAAACAACATTATTAATGCGCCAAAATAATAAAGATTACATTTTTTTATTGTATGTTCCTTTTGTCTTGCTTATCTGACATTAATATAAAAATATAAAACCACAGAATGAGAGGATACTGAAAACCTTTACAGCCAGCTATACTGTTCTTCCATGTAAGCACAGGACTTGCTTGTTAGTCGTCAACTCGGAATTTTTAATTCAATGAATGTTAGACACTGAGCCCGGTGATTCTGCTCGTACCAATAGTACTGCCCTGAGTATCTGCATGAGCTCATGTAGCAGCCCCATGCAGTGGGGTACTGAACCATCAAATCCCAGAGCTGTCCCAGGAGGCTTCTAGCATTTATGGGAATGAGAACTGAGCGTTCATGAGTTTACAAAGGGAAAGTGAGGATTGAAAATAGTTCTAAATATATGACATTTCCCAGCTTGGATTGTGAAAACCAGTTTACTCTTGCTAGTTACTAGTCACAAATGGGTGACAGAACATCTCGTATTCAAGTGTGTTTCTGGAAAAGGTGAATTGGCGCTGGAGTGAATAACCACTGGTCTTTATTCCAGGAAATTTTAAGAATCGCTCTAGAAGCACCATGTTTCTAAAAGTTATATTTTGTGGATACTGGTATGGAAAAATTCAAATGCAGCTGGAAAGTGGGCTTGTCAGTTATTCCTTATCAATTGGTTCAGTGAATCTCTGAAAATACTCATTTTATATGCTTACATAATTTTATATTGCATTCCCCTACAACTTACAGTGAAAACACTCAGAGGTGAATACTGAACTAAATATAAAACCAGTTTATGAGCAATTGTATTATATATGCCAGCTCAGTCGCTAATGCAGAAACAAAATTTCACAGCATTTACCCTGAAATTCATCACAACGCTTGTGAGGGAGGAAAATGTTTCTCCTTCAAATTGCTCTGAAATGCATTGCGAAAAAGAAAAGTCTAAAACCCTGAAAGAAAGGTGTTAAGTATCAAATTGAAAATAGAAGTATTTTCAGATTAATATGTAGACAATATATGTCTTAAAAGGTTACTTTAAATACTATTTAAATTATCCACAAACTGACAAGAATAACAGACTGCTTTAAAAATAAGGTAGTAAATTGAATACTATTTTTAATAGACTGTACACAGGTTTTTAAAACTTTGCTTTTCTCAATGAAATAGCTTGTAAGGTAAATAAAAAATCTTCCACTTTCACTGCAGCTCACAGATCACGGCTGCACAAAAATACTTTTTTCTTACGTCACAGAAGCCAAATTGTTACTTTAGAACAAGTAGAGCATCACTTAAACATAGCAGGAAATTTTGAGTATCATCTTGGCTGGCAGGTAAAAAGAAACATGCTTGCACATTACTTCTTTGGCTCCTTTCCTGACACGGCCGATGAGATGTGTGTAATGGAGCAGTGTCAATTTGTTACAAAAGTTTACTCTGAGCGCTCTCCGATTGAAGAATTTGGCTTCACCTACTAATTCAGTGCAAAGTGGGTTTAACTCCTTGTACTAAATGGCATTATTGGCAGTTTGTATGTTAGACAGACAACACAACCGTCCTAAAGGATCATTGTTTAGCAGCAGTTGTATATCTAGAAGAAATGACTGAGGATCCTTTCACCTCGAGGCAAAAATCTGACTTTTACTAGTCTTTGCGACTCTCTAATTCTCCAGCAGGAAAGAAGGGAAAAAAATAAAAATAGACCTTTATTTGATTTTACCCTTTTGCTATTCCATTTCTACAGAGAAGCTTCACATCACTTGAAGTGCTCAGTATTGAGATACGTTATGAAACAATAAATGGAGTATGGGCCACTTAGTCATATGTCCAGCCAAAAAAAAAAAAAAAAAAAAAGGCAAGAACATAGACAAATTCTCAAAGCTTTGCGCTCAGCATTCAGGCACTAAAAGCCCGACTGCTTCATGGCTCCTGAGGGGCAGCCCCCACCTCCCGCCCAGGGGGTCAAGCCCCTCCCCCTCCGCCTCGCAGCCAATGGTACGGGACCTCCCGGCTGGGTGGTCCCGCCCCATATCCCGAGAGCCATTAGGCACGTTCCCCGTTCGCCACCAGTTTTTCTTCCCGTGTCTCTCCCGCCTCCTTTCCCTTCAAGCCAATAGCAGCGGGCGCTCCTGCGAACCAGCCAATGGCAGCGTGCTGCTAGACTCCCCCTCGCCGTTCCGGAGGCTCACCCTCAGCGGCGCTCGGTAGCAACGATGGATGCTAAAGTGCAACAGGTAGGCGTCGCCGCCGCTGCCGCCGAGGGCTGAGCCGCACCAGCCCTCCCCGCGGGTGTGGGGCTTCGCAGGGGCTGAGGCTGGGGAGTGTCGGGGGGCGGGGGGGGGGCTCAGGGG